GGTCCGGACTACCTGGACTGCAGCATTGAGAATGGAGGGAAGCTGGGATCCAAGAAGGGCGTTAACTTGCCCGGGGCACCTGTCGATCTCCCGTCTATGTCTGCGAAGGATAAGCAGGATTTAACATTTGCCGTCGATAATCAGGTTTGTTTTTATTTGGAGTCTGCTTCATTTTTTGTCTAGCCCTCAGTTTAAATCCCATTGTTATTTTAGTTTTCTGGACTTTTAAGCTTCTGATATTCAATGACCCTACGTTTTTTTTGCATTAAAGTTGGATATTATCTTCGCTTCCTTCATCCGGTCAGGCAAGGGTGTGCAAGAAATTCGTGAGCATCTTGGCGAACGGGGTGCTTACATTAAAATAATTGCTAAAATTGAGAACCACCAAGGTGTTAAGCTGTAAGTTCTTCCTCAGTAATCAACTTCTTTCTGTCTTCTTTTGTGCAATCGTCGTCTCAATAGTCCTTTCCTTTTCCATGTAACGAACATTTAGTATTATCGGCTTCATTTTGAGTGATTTTGGTCACATTTACCTAAACCTTTTTAAATATCTAGATATGATGAGATCATCCAAGCCGCCGATGGTGTCATGGTCGCTCGTGGTGACTTGGGTATCGAGATTCCCCCAGAAAAAGTCTTTCTTGCTCAGAAAATGATAATTGCCAGATGCAATCTCCTTGGAAAACCTGGTATTTGTGCCACTCAGATGCTGGAGTCCATGACATACAAACCTCGAGCTACCAGAGCCGAGTCTGGCGATGTGGCAAACGCTGTTTTGGACGGTGCCGACTGTGTCATGTTGTCAGGTAACGGCTTATTCTGTTTAATTCATTCCATTAATAATGCGCCGTCATTGTTGGCCTGCCTTGGATTTGAAACGCATTTTCGTTTTGCAGAATAATTGTTGACTTTTGTTCAAGGCATCTGATTTATTTACTTAGGTGAAACTGCCAAGGGCAGCTACCCTGTGGAATGTGTTCAGACGATGGCCGACGTATGCCGCGAGGCAGAATCGGCAGTCTTGCATGGGCAATTGTTTGAAGACTTGAAGAGCGTATTGTCTCTGCCTACGGACGCTACGCTGACAACTGCCATAGCAGCTGTTGAGGCTTCCCACCGGTGCTTAGCTCAGGCCATCATCGTCGTGACTACTAGTGGCCGGTAAGTGTCGTTGACTTGTAGCTTTGTCCACTCTGTTACCATTTCTTGAAACATTAAATGGTCTTCTTCTGTTTTAGAACTGCCCAGCTGGTGGCACGTCATCGCCCACGCTGTCCTATAATCTGTGTCACTCGCACTGCCGTCGTTTCTCGTCAACTTCACCTTCACCGTGGTTGTCATCCCATATTCTACGGCGGTGGGTTCTTTTTACACGTTAACGCCCTAATTTTCATTTTTTAAATGACCTCGGACTAAGAAGAGTGCAGCACTCAGCGTAGCAGCTGGATGTGTGGAAACTCTGGTTTTGACTTTCATATAGCTTCTACCATTTTCTTTCTGTAATCTGTAGCTCAATTTTAAATAGGCTTAAACCGCTTTTGATCTTTTCAGAGCCACGAACTGAACTCTGGGCCGAAGACATGGACCGCCGTATCGCGTGTGCCATTGACTACGGTCGTAAAAGGAAGTTCTTGAACGACGGCGACAATATTATTGTGGTGACGGGCTTTAAAGCTGGCTCTGGTGCCACCAACTCCCTACGTGTTATCGAACTGGGTACAGACGCAGAACATCACGTCATGGGCATCCCGAACCTGAAGAACTTCAAGGACTAGACGCGACTATCACGTGTTTGCCTGAACAGCAAATGCCGCCTTGCCAGTTTTTACCTCTATACATCCCTATACAATGCATGCAGCTGAAACAGGACCCTATTTATGTTCTTCTCGCGATTACCTGGTCGCCACTTTCCTTTGCCTTTTCAGTCTCTTTGACTGATACATATATTCCCGACAACCGCCAAACTGCAAAGTGCGGGAGGTCTCCTCTCCCAGATTATCAATGATTAGACCTTTGCGTGTTAAAGTTTCCCCTTCTCCCTTTGATTTGCAGTGATTTCGTTCAATTACTGCGTAAAATGCAATCAATCTTAGACGACTGGAAGGGTCGCCAATAAAGTGGTGTTCCCCAAGTTTTATTTTTACGACCTTCGACGTGGTTATTCGCGTTCAGGTGTGTGGGCGTTGCATCATCGCATGAGTGGAATGCGCGTACAGCCTGTTGTATAGCTGTATTCCCTGCACTTTGGCCAAGGGTTTCTGGATTTCGCCTTATAAACCTACATTTTTACACATTAAGCTAAAAGACTCAGTTATCGACTTAGATGTGTAGAGAACTACAAGAATGACCGCGATCGTTCGATATTATCGTCCAGTAAGCGCGCGTCAGTGAGGTTGCACTTGGTTTGCTCCGGCTAATGGGTATGATAACGACATTTGAGTCTTCAATTTTGCCAAGTTCAATAGGTTGATTGTACTAAATGCCAAATTTTGGCGTGTGATGGGAAATGTACTAACTCGTTGTTCTCACGACTGACGAACTTCTGTACAGATCTATTGCATTTTTGTCTCATTGTTTAAGGCGTAGAGGTGGGATGGGTGGCTAGCATAAATCAGGTCTCATAGTTATGAAATTGAGACTGCTATCGCGAATTTAGGCCACTCTGACTAAAAAAGCTTGATCAGAGAGAAATAAGCTTTATTTCGAGGGTAAATGTCCAAAAGTTTGAGCAATAATGGCTCCATCCACTGAGGTAAAGGTAATAAAATAGTCTAGAGGTTTGCATGAAATCCACACCTATCGTGGGGACAGGTGAGGTAGCGTGCTACGGATGGGAGTACAGAATGCTGATATGCCGATGTATGGCAGGACGTATGTCGGAAACCTCGGCGCTTAGTACAGGAAGCAAGACTGGGGAAATAACCGGAGAGCACTAGAGAATACAGACATCTGTAACTCCAGCTTAGGACTTGAGGTGTGCAATATTAACGTAGACGACGGATAAAATATAGAAGTTTACGAATTTTAATGAGCAGGGTTTCAATATGGAGATTAAATTAACGATTAGGTGTCGGAGCAACGCCGAGGTACTGGAAATCGGATACCTCAAAAGAAGCAGAAGCTGATTAACAAAGAAGTTACTCAGTATGGAAATCTCCCGTTTTATAAAAAGACGATGACGTCCTTTTGCTTTCTATGTAGACCTAGTTTGTGGAGTTATTCCGTTTGACGTCTTAGAAATTTTGACTGGGGAGAAGAAATTCTGTCTGTCCTGACCATAATGGTGTGAAGAGGAGAAGTGATATCAGAGATTTTGTTTAAAATGTTTGTAAGATAACGAGGACATGACTTGATATTTGAGTGTTTAAAGAAGTTGGTGATTAATTCAGATATGTACGTCTGTAGAAAGCAGATATTACGTGGAGATTTTAAGTTTCCTCTCGGGTTTTGCTTAGAGCTGGAATAGACGGTTGGCTGACGAGACTTTAAGATCGTGAAGTCAGTCGCTTTGCCCTCCGATACCTAACTTATGTGCAGGAATGGTGACTAACTGTACCGCGGTGGCTTTGCTTATCAATCTAAGTCACAGCAGGTCTAGGGTGAATATTAGCCTACCCAATTCGACCTAGTCGTAATTTACTGCGTGCTGGGAGGGACCTCGCCTAAGTCCAAAGCTCCAACTACTGAACATAGGATTTGCCAATAGTAGAGCATACACGAGTTCAGAAGGAGAGGATGTGATCAGTGGAACAAGAGTTTTATTTGCTTGACGTTTCGGATTCCGTCGGGAATCCTTAGGCATAGGTGATGGTAACACCGTCATGGTCATGCGCAGATGAGGTTGAGACATACACAGGTTGCACTTTGAACTATAAATAACGTGCAACCTGTGTATGCCTCAACCCCATCTGCGCATGGCCATGACGGTGTTACCATCACCTATGCCTAAGGATTCCCGACGGAAACCGAAAAGTCCGGCAAATAAAACTTTTGTTCCCGTGATGGCATCCTCTTCTTCTGAACATCGGGTTTGGTTGCGACTTGCTTATGACGGCTAATAAACCAGAAAATGTTATTTCAGTCTCCCTTGTCTTTATTGGAGATGTCCATCTACTTATGGTTCTCTCTACTATAACACATCTAAAATCTGTTGCTCCGCAAAGTCATATGCAGAACGGCAGCAAAACCCTGATAACTATCCTTGACAGACGAGATAAATTAGGCTTGTGTGCGCCCCTCAGACCCGGTACCCTGCGAATTAATCTTCATCCCCCTACCTCCAAATACAAAAGTCCTACAAAGGAGACGACATGCAATTCCCTAGGTGATCCAGGCTAATTCGGATCGTGCTTTAGGTAGACCATATTCGTGAACCATAATGGAATTACAGAGTCTTCCTAGATGATCGAGTGGTCGCACTTAGGAATAACACCACGTGCCCCCCGCGGGAACGCCGCTGGCAAATATTGCTGGAGTAATTGCCGATTTAATTTGTCATCACAACGAAACTATAAAATCCTGCCCCCCCCC